TTACAATTAATTTTATATCAATTTTAATTTTAATTATTCTTCGTATNAACCCCCAATTTGAACACACAAGAATTCGTACTATGGCTAATATGCAAGATCATAAGGCCAATAAAAAAAATAAAAAAAATTGATTTATAATTTTTATGTAATGTGTTGCTGCAGGTGCGTATTTAGCGGAAGGCCGTGGTTCGAATCCCGCTCGTGACAGTAACTTTTTCATTTCAACCAAGACCTTACGTACAAAGAACAATTGATTGAAAGAAGTTATTTCGTCAATCAAACCACTAAACCAAATATATTTAATTTTAATTGTAATTAATTTTCAAATGTTTTTTTAAGAGCTCAATTATTTTTTTATTTCACAGGAATTTTACTCAACGTGTTCCCTTCAGCGTGATACCAAATCACTTAAAACTATTTTTCTTTTCATCATCTTGTACTGAACATTTTATACACCCTAGAAATACAAAATATCAAGGGTTTTTCCTTTTGGTGCTTCGGGTCTTTGGTGTGTGTACTTTTCCATGTTAAACGTTCACCAAAATTACTCCGAGGAATTTTAAATGATTTCCACTGGTTTGTTCATAATATTAGTGAGACGGTTGATTTCGGGTGGTCAAGTTTTGGCCAAGTTGCGGATTCTCCAAGGCTATAAACTAACTACGTCGGCTAAACTTAACAGCCAGGTTGTTTCTCATTTGAATCCATTACGGGCCAAAAGGATGCGGAAATGTACAAATATTTTATGGCAAGTGCGCATACAACGAATAATAAAGATTTTCACGCGAGAATAAATAAAATTCGCACTCAGCAAAATTTACGATACTCCCCAGAGTTATAAAATTATTTAAAAAAAAAAAAAATTAAAAAAACGGCGTTTATTCCATTAAAAGAGTGTACGGTCGGTGGTTTTCATATCCGGCCTGGTTTACAATATAGATCGTAACTCCTAAAATTTCCGCTTTCAGACAATAGAGTTTGCGGAAGACCGAACCCAAGGGATGAACGTCCAACCGCAGTCAAAGTTATCCAATCCTGGCCGTCATTACCGAATAAAGGGCCTCTTCTATTGCAAAGGAACGGGGGGGATGAGGAAAAATTCGCCGAGCCGGATTGGAAATTGTTGAAATTCGTAAACTTTTTTAATTCAATCATTCACGCAGCATGACGGTTATTAAAAGAGATGTTTAGCGGTGATTAAATGTTGATGACACTTTCGTGTTGCTCACCCAACCCGCGTTGAACGTTGAACAATCAACCCCCTGAGCTGAGCTACCAGCGGAAACAAATTCAACCAATCAAACCACCCTAATTTTTCTCTTCACGATTCATTTTTGTTAATTAATAAAACGCAAGTATGTAACAAATGAAAAATAATTAAACATAGAATTTAATTTTGAAAACGTATTTCAAAACTAGTTTACAGGGTTTTCAAATTAAATTCACCATTTTGCAAATAAACAAAGTATTTCTACATATATATTTTTTATTTAAAAAAAAAAATTAAATAATTTTAATGAGTAAGAAAAATATTACAAAGTTCATTATATTTAGTGGTCTATTGACCAAATTACTACTTTCAATTAATTAATCTTTACATGTAAGCTTTTGGTTGAACTGAAAAAGTTAGTGTCACGAGCAGGATTCGAATCCACGACCATTGGCTCAATACAGCGCTGTTCTAATGACGAGCTATCGTGACTTCGATCCACTCGGACACCAGCTTACCATCTCAACCCCACCTTTCGAGTTTTCCCTCCTTTTTGCCACTTTTCAAGTGTGAGGATCGATGTCACAATAGCTCAAGTGGTTAGAGCAGCGCTGTATTGAGCCGAAGGTCGTGGGTTCGAATCCCGATTGTGACACTAACTTTTTTAATTTCAACCAAAACCTTACATAAAAAGATCATCAGGAAAAGATAAAAAATCAAAAAAAGCATTTCTATAATCACGTTTTTCCCTTTTTTTGATAAAATCAAATGGATTGATGAATCCGCAATTGGAAATCAAGCCTACTAATTATTATTACACCAGACCGCATCTCACGATTTCGGAATAATTATCGGTTAACGGTCACTAATAATCACCACCCACTTTTTATTATTGTAATGTTCGAAAGTAGAGCATATACTAATAATAAATATTGTTTAACTTTTTTTCTACGTAGACTAGTCTGTGGGGGAAAACTAGTTGTGAGAAAACCAGGAATGACAATATGAAGTTTGTAGATAGACGGAAAGCAAATACATCAAAAGTTTTAAATTGAATATGTAAACATGCAATTTTCGATTACTTTATTTATGATTTCTACTCGAACGTTCTTAACTGATTTTTTACTAACGAATTAATATTATCATTATTTGATGTGTTTTTTTTTCTTCAATTCATATGTAGAAATAGATATTGAATAGAATAGAATAAATTTTTATTTGTACATGGGCACAACAATGTATACAATAATTTTAGAATGTAGGGAAAGTGACATTTCACTGTGGCTTCCTACTATTTACACTATCATTTTTATATACAAATAGGCAAGAGAAATTCCATAATAGTTTTTGGGAAAAAATCTATGTTTAAAAAAACCACAAGCAGGGTTATTGTATATGTACAATATACATATAATTAATAAATATAATTTGTTAAATATAAATAAAATAAATAATAATTATAAATTTCATTTTTGAAAGGATGAATTTGATTTTTTTTTAAATTGATTTTAAAAAGGGAGAAGTTGGTTTCCTAACGGATAATTTGGATTAGCAAAAAGTGAATTTGATTTTGAAAGTGAACTTGTTTTACAAAAGGGTGCGTTTGCTTGGCAAAAGGGTATATTTGCTTATTTACTTTACCGGTGAATTAAATTTCGGTATTGGCGACTTTCAATTTCAAATGGGTGAAAATGATTTTTAATAGGGTGAATTTAATTTGTAAAACGGTAAATTTGATTTGCACAAAAATGGATTCGAATTCAAAACAGTGAATTTGGTTACCTAAAATATGAATTAGATTTTCAAAAGGGAGAATTTAATTGGCACAAAAGGAATTCGATTTGGTTAACGTAAATTTGATTTTTTAAAAGAGAGATCTTGATTAAGAGTGAATTTATGTTGGCAAAACTTGTTTTTCAAAAGGGTGCATTTGCTTTGCAAATGGGTATATTTGCTTATTTATTTTACAAACAGGTGAATTAAATTTCGGTAAAGTCGACTTTCAATAGGGTGAATTTAATTTGGTAAAATTTAAATTGACTTTCAAATGTGTGAAATGAATTTAGTAAAAGTGAATTTGATATTCAAAAAGGTGAATTCCATGCAAACCAGTGAATTTGATTGACAAAAGGAAGAATTCGATTTGGTAATTGGTGAATTTCATTTTCCAAATGGAAATTTTGATTGGTAAAAATGTGAATTTAATTTGTAAAACGGTAAAATTTATTTTAAAACGAGTGTTTTGAATTGAAAAACCTGTAAAAATGATTTTCAAAAGGGTGATTTTAATTAAGGTTTAATTTATTATGGTAAAGTGAACTTGTTTATCAAAAGGCTGAAATTAATTTACAAAAGAGTGAATGTAATTTGAAAAGAGGGGAATTTGTTTGTGACCAGAGTGAATATAATTTGAGAAAAGTAAATTGGTTTTACAAAAGTGTGAATTTAATTTCGGAAAAGATGACTTTCAATGCAAAAGTGTGATTTCAATGTGCTCAAGGATTAATTTATTTTGGTGCAAGTTACTTTAAATGGTTGAATTTAATTTGCAAAAGAGTAAATTTGGTTTCCAAAAAAATTAATTTAATTTTCAAAAGGGCGAAAATGATTTCCAAAAAAAAATTTGATTTACTAAATGGTGATTTTGATTGATAAAAAAGTGAATGTAATTTCTAAAACGGTCAAATTGATTTTCAAACTTTTTTGATTTGAATTGAAAAACCTGTATACATTACATTTCTATTTGCCACATGTTTAAATGTATATTACAATTAGTCCTCAGAATATTAAAGAAAGCTTGGCCCACAGTCTCGTCCATCGAGAAAAAAGGGCTTGGCCCTCATTTTGAAGGTGGAGTTATCGTTTACGAAGGATAGTCTGAACTGGTTCAGAAAAAAAGCGAGCATCAGTGGTCAGGAACCACTGGGTTGGATATGGAGAGGACGAGCGTACTTTGGTGCTTAAAGTTGTAGTCACCACCAAAAATGAAAGACGGTGGATTGTTTAGTCTAAGTTCTGTTGTAAATGTGTATCGGTATTATTAGATAATTTCTACCTAATTAAGAACGACATGTTCATTTATGATCAATTCATCCGTCATCAAATCATCAAAAGTGACTAATAATCTGTTTTTAAAAAGTAAATCAAACTAGGACAAATAATACAAACATAATTTTTCTTTATTTCTTCTTTCAGCCATTTCAAACAGTACCTACCGTTTTTCTAAACCGATTTTCACATGGGCTGATTGAATGGCCGAGTATATAAAAAATTATATTTTATATATCAATATATGTCACAATTTTTCAATTCTAGTCGTACTGTAAAACTTATCGACTTGAAAATAGTACTGTATTTTTTTCGGATTCTTCCAAAACGATACGTTTTATTTTATTAAACCAAAACATTATAAACAAAAGGGAATGATTATTGATACTGGTGGTTTGATATTATCGTGATCGGACCCATTTTAGTTCAGAAAACATTCGGATGAAGAAATTATCCTCGGGTAACTAAAGGGTCTCAAATTGACATCAATGTGCGATTCTTTATATTCCAAGTGCCACCCGGGTGAGAGTATTACATTTCTCTACTTACACTCTACAGGAGGACTTTTCCTTATAGGGTGAAAAAAAACATTCATGACTAATTCTAAAAGGAATAGTGTTGGTTCTAGGGTAAAGGATAGGAAGTTTACTTTTAAAAAAATTCTTTTATATGGTTTGAGTAATAAACAAGTTAAGACGACGAAAGCAGGCAAATAACTTAAAAAAAGTAATAGTAGACTTACAAATCCTGTCCGGGCCAGTGGTCTTATTTAAACCTATTTAAGAAAGTCTTATTCTATGCTACATCATTGTTTTACCGGCTGTAGCATCGGCCTCGAAAGGACACTTTTTCATTATTGAACAAGACTAGGAAACTTTTATAAGTTGGTTAAATGTTAATACATTTTTAAAACTAGGTCCCTTTGTGTTTGTGTGCTCGAAAAACGTAGTTTGTCCGTTTTGAAAGAGACACGAGCCATGTTCAGTTGGTGACCGACTGCTGAGCCTTTTCGAGAACGACAGATCCGTGCCGGTGGCGAAGAGAGACTGCGCCGAGGAGGGAGACTTCGGATAAATAGTGGGGACCCGGGTTGGGCTCGGCTATACCATTCCAGACAGATCGATGATTTGTTACCCCGATTGAAACGGCTCGATGTTTATTTTATTAAAATTAAAATCACCGGGGGAAAAAATTCTGCTTCGTTTAAAAAGAGAGTGAAATATTTACAACGAATTGGATCCTTTCAATTGCCGATCTGGTACGCACACGGGTTCTTGACTTGACCGGCATCTTTTTCAACTGGTTCAGAGGAAAAACAAAGATTTGTGAGGAGAAATGGGCAAGATCGGCAAATACCATGGGCAAGGTGGATAAGCAAGAGGATCTGAATCATAGATCATCCACACCAGATTCCAATCGGCCATACCTGATTTTGGTACACTGAAACTATATATAGATATGTTAGACTATCTAGTAATATACTCGTCCGTTCTTTCCTGAATGCTATTTCTTTTCCGGTTAATTTTAGAATTTTGTTTTTCCGACGAGGTATTTAACCCTCAGGGGTCACATTCGTAACCAATTTTGTTCAATGCTTTCTTTAATAATTTGTTGAAGTCGTAAGGAGTGGTCGAGAATAAGGTGGTTTAGAAAAACCGACGTTTCGACTATTATTCTGGTCATCTTCAGGGCATAAAGTGTCATGCTATTCTTGTGTTGTCATATTGGTTTTATGTGAAAGTGCTGTTATTCTTGACCGCTCCTCACGACTTCAAAAAATTATGGAACAACAGGTCACTACCAAACACACATTTCTACCCGAGAGGAACAACAAAACCAACATGGGTTTTTACGAACATATCACCATCAAACATGGACATCAAGCCACATGTCACACTCAGCGCAACACTTTCACACAAAACCTATATGACACCATAAGAATAGCACCACATGCGCTGAAGATGACCAGAATAAAGGCCGAAACGCTGCACAAAAAAGAAAAAGGTGTTTTTCTAAACTTTCTCATTCTTGACCGCCCCTCATGACTTCAACGAATTATGAAACAACAGATCACTAACAAACACCCATTTTCTTTAATTACGTTCGTAATTCAATTTAATTTTCTAAAGGTCTTTATTGGCTGATGACGTAAAAATCTACAAATGCATCTTTACGTTTAATGATTGTTCGTTGTTACAAAATGACATTTCTGATTTTCCAGACTGACGCACTCTCAACAGTCTTTCGATTAATCTACATAAATGTCATTGCATTTCTTTTGATGCTAAAAACGATGTTTTCTCGGAACAGTAATTCGTGTCATATTCCTTAGGAAGTTTCTCTTGGGGAGGTCTCCGTAGTTACTGATTTGGGAATGGTCTTTAATAAGAAGTGTACCTTTGAGGATCGTTATTCATACAAGATCATAGGATATACATAAACTTGGGTTTCATCAAATGTATGATGTCTGGACAAGTGTTTATGCAATAAAATATTGTATCTGTCTTTGGTTAGAAGTATTCTTGAATACAGTGATTTAATTTGATCTGTTTCTTACAAAACCCATTCAAATGATTTAGAAATGATTCAGAGGCAAGCTACCAATACCAAAAGTTTAAATCTGGTCTTAACTTCACTACGAATTCCGCGGCTCTAGACGCTTTGAATATTGGATCTTGGTCACTCGTCGTCTTGCTGCTTTTTCGCTATTCGGAAAGATTTTAAATGGCTTAATTTATGCTCCAGAAATTCTATTGCAACTCAGCTTAAGGGTGCCTATCCAGGGTTTGCGAGTGAATGAACTGTTTTACATTTCCTCTTGCAACCAACCAATCTCTCATCGGCGATATGTCTTTAGCGTTGCCCGTTCTTTGAATGTATCATGCATTGATCTACATGTTGACAGCCAGATGGCCTCTAAAAGAAAGTTTTTTGAATTTTTAATGAACAATATGGAGTAACCCTTGAACTGCATGAATTTTAATTTTTGCTTTTCCTTATTTCTATTTAAATGTATATTTTCTACTGTTGTCATGTTTGTTTACTTTTTCTACACAGTTTGACCTAATGTACTATTGTTAAATATTATTATATTTCGTCTGTTCTTTTTGGGGCTGATTCCCTGTTTAATCTATGTGATAAATGAAAAAATAAAAACGGATAAGCCATGGTGCATAAAATGAGAAAAGGAATTTCATGGGTTAGAGTTACTGATGGGCCAAACTACTCCAAACTTATCGAATCCTTCCTTGCTGACAGGTATTTACGAATATTCCAAGCTGGAATAACACAGAGCAGTGCATCTTTTATTCATTTCTTCTATGACTTACGGCATCTACTTCTGTCGCTGTACCAGCAAGACCAACCTTCAAAATAGTAGAAGAAGGTATGAACAAGGTATTCCAACCAGCAAAGGCTTAAAGGTTTCGACTATTAGCAAACCACCTAGTGATAAGGTGAGGAAAGGATTCAACAGGTTGGAGATATCACAGAAAGCGTAAGTTCTGTGTTTAGAAGGATAAAATATGAGAGGAGTGTTGAGGGGATGATCTTCAACATGAGTCAAAAATTGTCATCTGATAAAGGCAAAATAATAAACGTTATTAAAGTAAAGGTACCAATGGGAAGTAAGTACCATAACGCAATTGATGGTGGGCGGGAAAAAACGTCGGGTAATCTGAGAGATAATCATTCAGGACGTCTGACCAAGGACAATCCCAAAGAGAACCTGGGGTTGGGACAGAAGGGTTGATTATTATTTGATTGTAAACGTAGAGATAGGAAGTAAAGATTGGATAAAGGGCCAGGACTCCTAGCACCGATCTGTCTTATGTAGGTGAAGTAGTTATTTTATGCACTTTATTTGTTTACCATATGAAATATCTTGAATTCTGTAGATCGCTTATTTCTTCAGGCGACCCGAGGAAAAATGATATGATCGTCGCGGCGACGACGCCGGCATCTTTTGAATTATTCATCGAGTGAAGTCCTTTAATAATTTTCCACCGCGCCGAGGAACGTTTTATCAAATTCAATATATACTCTGATCGAAAACAATCCTTCAAGAAGTCTTTTAAAACGAAATTATTACAGAAATTGTAAATTATTCTACCTTTTGGTTAATAATATTATGAAATGATATACTTGAGAATTAAATTCGGCGAGTTTGAAAAAAACTTACAAATTGTACGAATTCAAGAGGACTTACACTCAATTAACCCCAGGGTCGCAAAACTGGGCTTGAATGTAAAAAAGTCCCTGGCTATTGTGTTTAAATCGAGTTCCCTCCTCCATTCATTACCTATTCCTCCGCTTAAAATTAACAATGAAACACTGTCAAGAACTTTGGGATTGTCTTTGATCCTACCTCCTGAAAGCTTATCTCTCAGATTACCCGATTGTGCTGTCCCACCCGACGGCTCACCTTCACCCCTTTAGTACCCTAACTTTCCCCGCACTTTCGTAAAGGATGTGCTATAAACGAGGCTCTTGAAGACAAGAACGTCTCCCTAAGGAGATAAATGGCGACAAACGGATTTGAAATTGTTCTACCCTTCCTACCGCAGGTAATACTTGGCTACTTCCCCTATCAGACGACAATTTCTGTCTCCTCGCCTCCAGTATTCTGTGGACTTCCGTAAGAAAAGACTACTACGTTCAGTACTGTTTACCGATTTGTCCTCTGTGATGGCCACTTGTAGTTACCACGTTACCGCTAGATGCCACTGCCACTTATGGAATGTGTGGTGATTAGTGACCGTTAGTCGATGATTATTCAGAAATCGTGAGATGCGGTCTGGTGTGATGTAGGTTGTAGAAAAACATTTTCTTTATCGGGCTAGTGTTCCGATCTTTATTGAGATCATCTTCAGGGCTCCATGTGTTTGCTTTCTGCGTAATTGTGCCATTCTTGCGTGTCGTGTTGAGAGTGCCCCAATCAGAGAGTCTGCTGTAGAGCCCTTCCGAATATAAGCAGGGGCACTGCCTGCAGACTTCAGACTTGTCAACCCGACGAGGTTTCACTTGTACAGCAAGACTCGTCAACCCGACGAGATCTCACCCATCACTAATCAACAACGACGTGAGGTTCCCGCATACTCGGTCATCATAAAAAGGACTCTGAGGATCTTTAATGTCCGCACGGACGTTTTGATTCTCAAGATGAGAGCTGACGCACCTCCGCTTACGACAGGATGGAGTTACTGCAGCATTGGTGTAGAGGCAGCTCAGCCCCGAAGGGCCAAGGCAACCTCGCTCCCCGCTTGTCCATTCCAAGTGGCCGCGTCTGCATTGAGCATCAGACCGAATGCCGCGCGCAAAGGGCTACCTAAGCCGAAATACATCAGGTCGGCCTCCCGCGCACTACCTACATAGAGAAGGCGACCTTCAGTCAACGGTTCACTCGGTCACAGACTACCACCAACGGCACACGCACACGGTTCCGGCCTCGATCCATCGTCTCGACGATACGAAACAACACCGGCCCTTTTCAGGGCCACCAAAACTCCTGGGCACTAAATCCTCCACGGGTTAAGGAAATTACGAAGATAGTGAAGATCAGGAATAAAATAGGCCCTAATACACTACCTTGAAGCACTCCAGCTTGGATAATTATTAAATAACCGTTTAATTTAATTAAATTCGATAGGTTTGGATAAGTTGGCTCATCAATGCCTCCAACCTGGGAATTCCTTTCTTCTCTTTAACTACCGACCCATCAGTTTCAGTGTCCAAGCCGAATATGGGCTACTGTGAGTCGGTTGATGTCTTCTACGATTCATATCCTCTGAAGGCCGGCTATCGACCTTACGATGCTAAGGACGTGTTTTTACCATGTCCTACCGCAGGTAATACTTCACTCCTTTCTCTAATTTTGGACTCTTCACCTTCAGATTTCTGTACACTCTCCCGTAAAGACAGACCCGTTATCATTCGTTCTTTCCTCAACCGTGCCTTCAACCTTCCTCACTTTATCTGCAGTTGGAACTCGTAATAGCCTTTAATCCTTTTTTTGGGTCGGCTAAAGTGGCTTAATGTCTAGGCTCGTCTGTATGAGTAATTTCAAAGTGAGGTGTTCAGTTTCCGA